GTGTGTCTGTATGTGTGTCTGTGTGTGTGTGTCTGTGTGTGTGTGTCTGTGTGTGTGTGTGTGTCTGTGTGTGTCTGTGTGTGTGTCTGTGTGTGTCTGTGTGTGTCTGTGTGTGTCTATGTGTGTCTGTGTGTGTGTGTGTGTGTGTGCGTGCGTGCAAGAGGCACACTGTGGAGTACAAGAATTTCATCTGTGGTGCTCGGCAGTGGCATGGCGAAATCTCTACAGAAGACAGCCTACATGCATCGCACAAATACACAGCTATGCACGGAGAGACGACACGACATGAGTGAGGCTCTAAAGGGGCTGTTATGTCCAACACCCCACGCCCCCTCCCGACGCCCCAGTCTCCGAGGAGGTCGGCAGCAACAGCCCGGATTTCGTGCTGGTCACGGCTTCCTGGCAAGGTGTGCAAACTCACGAGGCTTCAAAGCCTCTGCAGATCTTGGCCAACGGTCTGGACAGTGGCTGCACACCTTCGCCTTGATCAAGACGTAGTCAAACAGCGGAGAGAGTTCGCCCTTGACCTGCTCCGGAGTGACACACGTGTGCTCTCTTAGCATAGCACATCAGAGCTGGCACCTGGACCGCATCGGCAGTTGCAGCTCGTTGCACCCGCAGGGTGCGTCCGCCCCTCTGCGCAGCCAAGAAAGCCATCCCGGACGCGAAGGCCAAAGCGGACAGCATCGCTCCTGCGCGCATGTTGCTTCAGTTACTGGTGTTGGTGCTGGCCCTTCTTCAAGCACGCGGTCTCTTGACATAACCACCTCAAATTGGATAGATAAGGTTCGGTTGGTAGATAGGTACAGTAGATAGGTTGATGGGCGGATAGGTAATGTCTGCATGCATGCACATTCATGGAACTGTCATTATCCGTGCTTGGCTGGTTGTCTCTGTCCTTGTGTGTTCGGGCGAGCGCGGCTCGCTGTTGACATTGCTTGATTGCTTGTTGGTTGGTCTCGCTCTGCTTGCGCGTTCTGTTTGGTGAGATTTAAGCATCTCGGCAACGTGCGTGAAGCGGCAAGCGTGGCCTCCAAGACACCTCCTGCTGCTGGAGGGTCCACGAGACATTCGCGACGACATGGACCTCCAAATCAGATGGTCAGCTATGGGCAACTCGCAACAAAGCCTGGTACGTTACCCTAAATCCCAAACCCGACATTACGTCATGGACCACACCATGTCGACAGCTGGAGGCCTCGGCATCCTTGTGCCGTACACACGGTACAAAAAGTGTCCAAAGCTATAAGGCTGCTAAGTTTTGCAAGTGCTGATCGGTCCGGAGCTTGCGAGGAAGGATCGGCCTGCGATGTACTGATGAACACGATTTCGCCCCGTCGTGAAGACTGTGGCATGTTTTGCACTGCCCTCGTGATGGGAGGCTGTCCTGTGTGGCTGCAGTAGCAAATCCATGATTCAGGGAACAACACTCATGCGTTTGCACGTTGCTCAAAGGGCAGCTGAAAGTAACAGAAAAGCAGCCACAGCGAATGGCTCGGCCACCTGCATCTCTTTTGTGGTCGCAGTCTGCCCGCGCACTGAGGACACAATGCGGCTTTAGATGCTAGGGGGTGAGACCTGGCATGGAAGTGCTTGTTGCCTGCCGCCTCTGGGGACCTTATTGTCTCCTGCACAGGTCAAGAGGCCTTCCTGCAAACGCCCACGAGAGTGCTCTTTGGCCGGATGGCTACACCCTGAATCGAGACGCAGTTGCAGGAATGCCACCGCTCAGTGCGATCCGGCATTCCCACAGCAAAAGCCTGCAGCTTGCTCGTCTTATTCTGCAAATATTGGTGTTGCATGGAAGCTTTGGCGGACCTGAAGTCAGAGCAATCTGCAGTACCCGCACATCAGGATCTTCCAACAAGAGAATCCATGCAGGTGGAAAATGGCTGGTCTCATCTGCAGTTGGGATCGAAGAAGCAGAAACCAGCAGCTATACTAACTAGACTGTACTACTTCAAGAACAATCATGGTCTAGCCAGTCCCAACGGCGCAGTTGCGGCAGCCTCAACATTTGGCAAACCCCTTTGGCAGCTGGCATGTGATAGAAGCGCACTGGTGGCGCCCTACTGCTTTATCGACGACAGAGAAACCTGGCCGCGCAAGAGCATTGCCGTCTTGCGCCCCCCCACCTTCCCCTGAAGTCAAGCCTGGTGCATGGTGAGGTTCACGGAAATCTGCTTTGTCAGATCCGTCGCTTGCTTCTCGAGGATGTCCTGTCCGCATTCGGCGGCTCCCAGCTTCACACGTCGGAGACCCCAAGCATCCCCCCCGAGGACGCGAAGGCAAAAAAGGGCCAAGGCGAGACAACCATGCTGCGTGGCGGGCAAGCTTAGGTGTCACTTGAATCGATAGCTTCTTTTTGTCACTACTGCCCGATTCGCACCGACGTGCATGCCAGCGGGGGCCTTGTCTGGAACTTCCATGAGGTAGTCGCCGGTGCCGGCGGTGCTGGCCTGCAGCGACACGAGGGGCGAAAATGGCCCACTGCTTGCCCTCTTTGCACCTTGCTGGTCTTGCTGGGCCAGCGGGCACTTGCCTCCTGCAGCATGGGCCCCCCGACAAATCTCACGGCTTAGACAGAAACCGGTGACGGCCTTGTTCTGGTCGCGTGCAGAATCTATACCTATACCTGGCCACGGCTGGAGAAGCTCCGCTCAAGCTGTCTCGTGGGCAGCTCGGGCTGTGGCAGTAGCCCAGAGCGCTGCAGCCATACACGGCAAGGCCTCCACAAGACCAATCTCGCGCGCACCGAGCACCCTGTGACAGGGGCTAAGCCTCCAATAACGGAGAAGATGCAGCTCAAGAGGGAGAAGCGCGATGCTATCTGGACCTGGCACTGCTCGAGCAGAGATGGACCCCGGACTTCGCCACGGTTATACTGGTCATGACAGTGACCATGACAATGACAATCCTCATGACGGCAATGAACACAGTCGTAGAACCCATCATTGATGCCATGATGCCGATGATGATCGTGAATGACCATCAGAGAACCCGAAATGATCATGATAACATGGCAAATGAGGGGCTGAGCCTAAGAACTTTATGGGGCCTCTTCTGGCGGAGGGTGAACGTCTTCGATCAACGGCGCATCTTTCGGCTGCTTCGTTGTCAGCCACGGATGTCGTGCAACCTGGATCCATGGAACTCATGTAGCCAAGCCATGGTCAAACTTAGGGTTCTTGTTCTCCTGTTCAAATCGCTCATGACACGAAACAAGCACCTGGAGGGGTCAAGTGATGCAGGAACCGATCGCTAGACTTACTATGGACTTGTGAGGCTTGCCGTGCAGCAAGTGAACCATCACAAGCAGAAATAAGAACAGAACAAAGACGACAGATGAGACAAGGCAAGAGAGTAGTAGAGTGCAGGAAAGGCCTAATGAAGACAAAGCAAGACCAGATCCGGCATCGTCAAAATGAAAAAGACAAGACACGGTGGAACCCTTGCAGATACGGGGTAAGAAAGACATGTAAATGCAATGAGAATGCTGGCAGTTCTTGCTATGCAGCTCAGCTTTTCAAAACCCGTGTAGCCGTGCAGAATAGCATCCCTCCCTGCCTCTCTCGCTGGCGGCCGGTCCGCGGCCTCCTTGCGACGGCAGGGACTGCGCGGGCGGCACTGTAAGTACCAAAGTACCGGGAACGGGGGGGGTCCTTCTTCATTGTCTGTCGAAGGAAGTCCGCTCCTAGGTGTCGACGGGGTGCCCCTGTCGGTTCTGACTGCACGCTTGACATTCATGGGACTTCCAAGCCATCGGCCACTCTCCGAGAGGTAGTAGGGCAGGGCAACGTCCGTTGTGCCCTTTGGCCCTGCATCGGAAGAGCGCTCTCGCAGTTCCTCCAGTTCTACCGTAAGTGGCCTGAACGCGCGCAAATGGCGGCCTCGCCCTCATAGGGGAGGGCCTAGACCGGATCTGATCTCACAACGACACTTGTTGCTTGACCGCGCGGGCCCCTGGCGCCAGTCAGAAGAATAAACGTCGTCACACCTACGGCCTCCAGCTGCAAAGCAGGTTGCTATGCTCGAGAGGATCATGGTGGAGATGAAGCTCCCCGATCTGAACTGTCGTTGCAAACGTCTGAGGTCGGACCCACACATCCACGGCCAAGCTATACCCGCCGGCGTAGATCTGCAGAGCAGAGGCCGTAGTTTAGAGCGTGCAATTTGCAGGGCTTTGAGTGGCTTCGAGGGCCTCAGGAGCCCAGAAGGCCGGAGTGCCAACACGGCTGTAGACCACCTCCCCTTTCTCAATCCTCGCGTCCGAGGGTTTAGAGTCTAGAGGGAGGGTGTGCGAATGAAGAGATGTGAAGATAGCAATTTCGAAACTTCCTGCGAACAGGGTCTGAACGTTTCTCCGAGCATGGCCTTGTTTGGGTTGTCTGTGGCAGGGCCTGTGACCCGCTCGGGCCCTTGTTTGTTTCCGACAAAGCCGTTGGAAAGTGTCGATCTTGTGCCATTACATGCGGAGCTGGAAAAGCTACGCCGTCGCCGATACTTAGAGATGAGTTTGCGCCATCGACAGTCGGTTGCTCTCGTGGTGTCGGCAGTCGTTGTGACGACCATTCGTTGTAGTCGGCGAAAAAGCTCATGCCTCATAAAGCAATCTGCAACTGCAGGTCAGTGCAGTCCTCAGCGCAGTGCCAAAGTCGGAAAGCGCAACCTGATGAAAAAACTGCTGACAACAGCACAGTTGATGAAAGTCAGGAGCACGAGGGCAATACACGAGTTTACAGCCGATCAAGAGCAATATCACTGACTGCGCAAAATATATCTCACCTACAGTGAGAGCTAATGATAAGACTAGGGAAGTGGATGGTTTCCACTGTCCAGGGTGAAACGTCGAACACTACAGACATCCTCGAAGAGGATGAACAACGAAAGGCCATGTTTGTTTGCTAAACGCTTGCTTGGATGCTTCATCACAACCTTGGCTCTGTGCACCGGTCACATCCGATTGGCTCTCACGGACGTGGCAGGGATCGAATTGCGGTTGCCACTGCCTGGACGGCCTGTCCCAAGAATCATTCCGAATTATCTTCAGAGTCAACACAGAGAGCTCCCAATGCCGAGTTGGGGCAGCCCGACGACTCCTGCCTCTCTGGCCGCTTCAAGGGCTGGCAGCCCCGAGACGAAGCCGGGCACCGACTCCTTCTCGCTTGGGGCCTCAGCGGCTGAGTCCGTTCATAGGCCTTCCTTTAAGTCCCGCTAGCATTGTAGCTCCTATTCGATGTTTACGATGCGTGCTAGAGATACCGTGTGCGAGACCACACAACCATAGTCAGCAGCAGCACATCGTCATCTCATCCCTGCTTCCTTCCGTCCTTCCGTCCATCCAACCATCCGTCCTCGGCAACCTCATCATGCATTATAATCAGCATGGTCGCCATCGACATCATCCTTTCGCCATCATCACGACAACCCCTGTTCAAGTTCAAGCGGTATGCACTACCGCCAGCACCAGGAATAGTTTACACGTGTGTCATGTCATCGTGACGATAACGACTTCCGTCATGACACCTGCTGATGCAAACACTACCGTCACTGACAGCTTTCGTGATCAACTTCCTGAAGCTGCTAGCAAGTAGCTTCCCCATACATCTCGCAGCGCCGAGGCCCTCCGTCTTTCCAGGTCCACGACTTACACCTTCCGGCCGAGCTTCCGAAGAAAGGCGGAACTCGCCCTCTGCCTGAAACTACCCAGCCTGGGCTCCCGCTGGCAAAGGCGGCAGCACCGCTGCGGGGCTGCGACATCGAAGTCGTCGCCCATGTGAGGTCTGTGGCTGATGACCAGGGACCAGCTGCCCAGCGGAGGCACCTGTCCACTCAGGGGCGCCTCTGAGACACTTATGCGGCAGACTCTGCATACCCAGCATGCTATGTGCAGCGGGTGGAGGCGCATAGCCCACATCTGGCTCCAGCTGTCCACACCAGAAATGCTGCCAGTCGTCCCCAGGCAGATTCGCTCTCAGCGCTTCTGTCGCCTCGCTTTCCAGAGCCCCCCAATACTCCAACAACACCCTTCCTATAGCGGTCGTATCCCCGTTGTTGGACCTTCAGCGTCTTCTGGAGCGGAGCTGAGAGCCTGGCCTGGAGGGCAGCACTCTCCTCGGCCGGCTGGGCGACCACGCTCCTCGGATTCGGACTGGACGAAGCGCCAGAGCCGCAAAAGGCGCCGCTTAAAGCGCTGCAAGGAGCAAGAAAGTTCTCTGAGATCCCGCCGAAGCTCGTCGCGGCCGGCGCGCTTACAACTGCTTCGTTCGGCGGCTGAGTTGCATTCGTCGCATTCGATTCGTTCCCCTGAACCGTCTGGTTCGTTTGGTTGCTTTGCTCTGGCTGGTCTGTGGCCGGCCTCTGCTCCTCCTGCGCTGGGGGAGCTGGGGGTGTCCCCAAGGACACCGTCACTGAAATTGCATCGTGGTCACTGCCTCAGCACAAGAAGAAGAACGCTGCTTTAATCTGGATCAAGTCGACCTTTCCGACCTCCGGAAAGTCTCAACTGCGTCTCGGTCGCCTCCACTGCCCAGGTTCTTGCGGCTCAGGACGGAGTCCGAGTCCATGTTCCCGAAGATGTTGTCCTCGGCACTCCGCCCTCGCAATCTCCTCGAAGCCCCAATGCTTGGCACTGCTGCCGAGGTGCCACGCCGCCGAAAGAGCCACCGCCATAGAGCAGCACCATCCGGGACCAAAGCGTCTGTTTCAGCTTAGATTCGATGGGATGTCGAAAATCGGCTCGTCTAGTGTGGTTATCGTTTGAGTTGATGTTGGGTGACGCTGAGGTGGAGGAGCAGAAGGCTGTTCGGTTCATTTGCTCCAGCAGTCGCAGGTCTAAGGGCAACTGCCGACACTGAACACACTGCTGCAGACGGTGTCCTGGATGGTGAGAGAAGCAGAGTTCGCATTGAAGTCCCCGACCAAAATGATGGCATCCCCTGTACGTGCTGGTAAGACCGCCACGGTGCCTCTCTAGACTTTGTCCAGCCTGGTTCGGAGCTGTTCCGGAGAACTTCGATCAGGTTGTTGGCGATGGAGTCGCCGCCACAGTCACCGCCAGAGTTCACCTCCAGCGGCCCGTGGTGGTTGGCAAAAAGTAACTTTCCTGAGCAGAGCGCATCCACGCACTGCAAAGTCGTGCAGAAGGCGTGAGACTGCAACAGAAGGCAAGCAAGCGGCTGCCTGTGGCATTGTGAACGAGGCGCATCCAGACCACTCCGCGGCGTCCGTAGTAGTGGGACTTCATATCCTGGCGGAGACGAGCCAAGTTCGCTCACATAGGACAAATGCACGCGCAATCCGTGAACCGATCATCTGAAGTCCTCCCCAACGTCCTCGCTGCCGCTTGAAAGAAGGCTCCAGGCCCCTTTCCGGTAGGCGAGGCACACGGCATGCATACCTTCGGGTTGTTGCAGCATCACCTGCTCCCCCCCCTCTGAGGCTCATGCAGCAGAAGGCCAAAGCCTTGCATAACTTCGTAGCTGTCCATCAAGCCCACCTGAGCTCCAGACACAACAGGCACAGCTGGACAAGCTTCCTTTAAGACACGGCGCCGGCTCCAGCACACGGACCCCATTTTCACATTCTTGGAACCCCATAACATCGAAGAGCCCGTCCTGGATGGAATGTGCTTATGGGCCACAGGCTCGGGTGGTTGTCAAAATGCTTGTTCCCGAAACTGACGTTGATGCGGCTGTAGTTGCGTGCCACTTCGTGGCAAAAGGAAAACAGGCTTACCGATACGTAGCGGCAAACGCTAGTGCTCGCGAGATGCATGGGCCGAAGAAGGGTACTAAGTTACTAGCGCGCAGAACTTTCAGCTGCTGTCGGAGGACGAGTCGGTGCCACTGCTACTGCTACTGCTGGGCTCTTGGCCCGGCTTGTCCCGCTGCGGGTGCTTGCGCGCTCGAGCCCCCATGCACAAGATTCTTGTGGTCACTCGCCAACCGCTTCTCAAAGAAGTGCACGCCCACGTTCGGATCATCAGGCGTCTTGTCGACCAAAAAGTCATAGCGAGATATAGTCGCATTTTGCTTTCCAATCCGGCCGCTTCTTAGCATGGCCTCGAAACCTGCACGCGACACGGATCCTGTCCTACAATGCTGCTCCGGGATCTGCCGAGCTGGCGCGGATCTGGCGCGCTGTGTTGTCTTACAAATGCCCAAACAGGACCTGGCTGGAGGCTCGATCGGATAAAGAGGCAAAGCTGCAAGAAAACGTGCACAGTCAGGTATCGGGCGTCGATCTCGGGAGCATGTATCTGCCGCAACCTCGCAAACCGACGTACCGAGCATTGATCTTGGAGGCACCTGGCTGCCAGCCACAACCCACACCAATCCACGTACCGAGCGCGGATCTTGAAAGCACGTGGCTTTTGCAAACCGACCGCTGATCTCACTCTACCTGCGAAAAGATAGCAGTAAAAGTACGCTAGAGGGCTGGGATGACGAAGCGCCGCTGCACAAAGCTTCAGCTCATAGCAAACGCATTTGTTGAGGTCCATCTAAAACATCCCACAGACACGGCAAAGCCAGCACTCTGTCCTCCACGGTCTCAGCTCTGATGAGGTGGCCGGCACTGTCCCCATTACCTCAGGCGGCTTGCCACTGCCACTTGCTGCCACCCTTTTCCCCCCGTCCCCGAGTCCAAGCCACCGCGGCGGACTCCGTAGAGGTTCCACCAAAACAGATTGTAGCTCAACACCTTCGGAAGGTGAAAAGACACGGGACTTGGGAGATCCGGAAGTCAGCTGGAGCCTTGATGGTGATGCTTCCGCTTTCCTCAGCCGGGGCCACGAGGCTTCCCGCCGGAGGCCACTCACACCACTTCGGGCGCAGCCTCAGCGAGCTGCACGAGCTGCACGAGCTGCAAAAGGCACTAGGACCGCTACCAGTCGGAGAGTTCGTCAGTTCGTGAAGCTCGAGCAGATACTCTGGGTTCCGTGCGGTACACCACAGGGTATCGGGCATTTGCCTTGTCAGGGGGAGACTGGAGATACCGGCAAGGGCATCTGCCACAACTCTGCCTGGCATTCGATCGTGAATCAAGAGCTGGAAGTCCACCACCTCAGGAAGCGCAGCATCGCTCCGTAGTCCGTCATCCTCTTCGCCAGGGCAGCCATGGCACGGAAGAGTCCTTCGTCAGATCCGGATACCAATCCGGGTGCTTGCCTCGGCCCACGGCGGCTCCGACTCCAAGCAACCAAGTCCCCCACCCTCCCTCCCCAATCCCCAACCCTCAAGAGCTTTCCCTCTTCACTCTCCTCCTTTTCTTTGGGATCCCGGCGGATGCCCACCTCTCGGGCCCAGGTCACCTCTCTCGGAGCACGCGAGCGGCCATGCGGCGGCGCGGCGCGGCGCGGCGCGCAGTTTACGCAGTTCTCTCCCACCTCGCGGAAGCATCTCTCCCCTTGCACCGTCGTGTGGCAGCCCACTTTCTGCTTGGTCAGAGCACCTGCAAACCAAACTCCGCCGGGAATGACATGCGGAATCAAGCAGGCCTCGGTGCTGCAGCGCTGTTAACGCACAGTCGGTGCGGTCCTCTGCACACTCGTCATCCGAGGGAAGGGGTAGCTCCTGGCAAGCGCTGGCAAGGCTGGGAGGACCCTCCTTCACCCAGCAATTGCCGGGAGCCCAAGAGTGGGAAACACCAGGTACAGTAATGCTCCATGCGTCGTGGCGATTGTGTGCAGAGCTGGAAATGCCAAATCCCCCGTCCTGGGTGAAGCCGACAAAAGGAACGAGGAGGATAAGCACCTGGAGAGCCAGCCGGTCGCGGAGCTTCATTCTTTCGAGAGGATGCTGATCTGATTGCTTTCAAGCGGCTTTTCGCATTCGTGGGGACGGGGGAAGAGAAGGCCCAAGCAGTGCTGAGCCGAAACAGCCAGCAGGCAGCACCAAGGCAGCGAAGGAAAGAGAGCTTCCCTTGCGAAAGCACGACAGACTGTGTTGCAGTCACGGGAGGCCTTGACATCGGGATCACCAATGTCCGGACGATCGGAAAGGAAATTTTCGCCCTGAAATGATCGCGCTGTCTAGGCTTCTTAGTTCTGAAATTATGCGACCCGCACGGCACCTTGACGTCCCGGTGTATGATTGACAGGTGGTGAACCTCGCCGCCAGATGACGCAAGTCAAGAGACGTTAAGTTACTTTTTGCAGCTTTGAGCGGCTACGGTAGGCAGCCGGCATGAGCGACCGCCGACATCATCTGCTTCGCAAGGCGTGCGAGCTGCGCATTCGGCACTCGCCCGAAGGCCTGTGAAGACTGGCGACAAGACCGGGACCCTCTCAGACTCTCCCGGGTCGGCCCTCGAGGCCCTCGCCCGTCTGTGGGTGTTGAGTCCGTCGACCAGGTCGCCTCCGGGGAACATGTCGACGACCACGTTCACGTACTGGGCCTCTCCGGAGAAGAGGGTAGTTGGAATCATCCCTTCTGTCACACTGCTCTTTTCCCAACTGGGGTTTGAAGGCCAAGAAAGCGACCCTTAAGTCAGTTATAAGGTCAATATACAGGGTGTCCTGCCCTTGGCATTTCAACGCTTCCACCCGGATTCGAGGCTCCGGGCGTTCTGACATCTATCTCTCATTGCACCGCACCCAACTGGCCGGCCTCGATGAACACGTCATAGCACCTGTCACTAAAGCCGTAACTGATGGCTGTTGAGAGTGACAGAGTGTGAAGGCAGCTTGCCTGACCATGTTCTCGTGCCGGAGGAGTCGCATGATGGCAATCTGCGAAGGGGCCAACGGCACTCACCCCTGGAGCACGTCTGGCCAGCTTTGTCTCCAATAAGCCGAGCTTCATCTCTTTAGCCTCTCTAAACACTTGGCGGTGCTCAAGACGCTCCGACGCAAAACACCTGGAGCAATCTTTAAAGAGAGCAGTGGAACGAGGCCAAGCGCCTCTGGCCCGGGAGCCCGTCAAAACTTTAGACTCTGGTCCTCTCACACGACCAAAGGCACTGGGGTGGCCGCGGCCGACCCGGTGCTGGCACGTCGGAACCTAACAAACAAAGCGAACGGCGAGTGCTCTCCCTCATGCCGAGTCCTCTTTTTGTCTGGGCCCCCCTGCATCGCGGCCCGCCGGGCTGCAGCATCCTTGGCCTCCTCCTCCGAAAGGTCCACCTTGACCTGCGCAAGGGTCTCCGTGAGAGGCCTCAACGCTCTTCGAAGAAAGGGCCTCGGGGATCGTTGCATCGTCGGCGACGCCGCAAGTGTTCTTGGCCTAGGAAACCCGGCCCAGCAAGTAAGCAATCGTAAGCAATCACAAACTGAAGCCTTTCCCTCGGGCCGCCACCATCTCCAGGTAGATGTAGCCCTGCATTCCCCAGGTCGATGCCCTCGGCTGCAATCTATAACAGCAAGGGATAGACAACAGTTCGGGTACTTGCGACCAAGCTACCATGAGTTGCGAACAATCCAATACGGTTTCGGCGCAGTGGCGTTGAAGCCCACGGCCATCACACAGTGGTCCTGGCGTGACAGCTGCGACATGTCTTAGGCGCCATGCCAAACTTCTCTGCCGGGCTACCGGCCTGATACGCCGCGCCCATCGGGCCGCATGCTGCCGCCGACAACACACCACCGGTGTAATCGTTCCAGACGCCTGCGTTGACCTCACTGTCAGCCCCTCCAAGCCACGGCATGCTCCACTGCCGAAGTGTATCGGGTAAGTGCGCCGCGCACACGGAGATGGGCGATTTCTCCAACGCAGCTGCCAAACCCTTCAGGTCCTCCGGCATGCTTTACTAGAGCCGCCCCGACATCCGAGGTTTCAGGGAAACAATCGAGACGAACAAGCTGCAAAACAACAGAACCAGGTTTCGTCTGTGTGCGCGTTGTACATGGTTCGGCATGACAGCCCTTCCCGAAACACATGATGCAATCAGATCGTCAGATCTGAGAAAACTATCTGACCTGTTCTATTCTCAGATTGAGCTGGAATCCCTTTTCAGTCCTCAATTATGCCGCAAAGGCTGAAACCAGATGACTTGAAGAGAAGTTCAACATGCTTGTCGGGGCATGTCGGGGCGTGCAGGCGGAGGCTTGGGTCGTGCCACGACCGGAAATGGGAAATGCTGTAATCAAAGTTAGTATCCTTTAATTCCTGCCCATCTTCTTCGTCAAAGCTTCAGCCAACGACATGGCGGAACAGTCAGGCATTGGTGTGTTAAGGTAGATGGGTTTGGTCTAAATTTCTAAATCAGGTGCCTGGGAGAAAGCAAGTGTGCCGCAGGAAGCATCCGGTCCTGATTTTCACAGCTCCCCTCAGTGCAGGGCTTCACGGCATAGCTGTAGCCTCACGGATCGAAACATGACAGTAGCTCAGCGCCTCGGAGTGGCTAACACCCGGGCCTGTCACAGCTGCGTACCCGCCCGACAGCTGCATGTAAGGGCCGTCCATCGCAGCCACCTGGCTGGACGGTGCCATGTCTGCTAGAGAGAAAGATAGATAGTGAGATACAAAGACAGACAGACAGACAGACAGACAGACAGACATAGACAGACAGACAGACAGACAGACAGACAGACAGACAGACAGACAGACAGACAGACAGACAGACAGCCAGGCACGCAGGCAGGCAGACAGACAGACGGACAGACGGCCAGACAAACAAATAGATAGATCGATGCAAATATGTGCTTCTTCGTTCATACATCTTTATTTAGTCTCTGTTATGGTTGAAAGCTACTTCAATAAATAATATATAATAGCTGTACCTATCTGCATCTTCGATGGGTTCGTGAATTTCGAAAGTAGATGCGTCTATGTACGAGTGTGTGTGTGTGTATATGTGTATGGATGTATGTATGTATGTATGTATGTATGTATGTATGTGTATGTGTATGTGTATGTGTATGTGTATGTGTATGTGTATGTGTATGTATGTATGTGTGTGTATGTATGTATGTATGTATGTATGTATGTATGTATGTATGTATGTATGTATGTATGTGCATGTATGTATGTATGTATGTCTGTCTGTCTGTATGTATGTATGTATGTATGAATGCATGTGTGTGTATGTTTGTATGTGTATATGTATGTATCTGTGCATGCCTACGCATATGTATATGTATA